CTCTTTGTGTATGGCTGCCTTAACATTCTATTCTCAAACAGAAACTGAAGGTGAATGAGGCGAGATGAAACGTTGAAGTGTTTAAAAAGAATTTAAAAAAAAGCAATTATTATGCCGATCTTTATTAATAAATCCCGAAAAGGAGCAAAAAAATAAATAAATCCCCCAAGTCTATCGCAATGCTTGCTGGTGTCCGAGAACCCGGAGTGCCGGCGCCACCTAGTGGATTCCCCCTAGCGGTTTAAGTGGACCTTCCACCACATTTTATATTACTTCCCTTTTCCTTCCTCCTGACCTTCTCCGCCCCCTGAGATACACGTCACCCGTTCCCAGGATGCTGCAGTCACAGGTGGTGGGATCTCAAGATTTCGCACCCGCATTGCTGACCGCAGCTACGTCCAAGGTGTAAGGCCCCGTTCACATTGAGCGATTTATCGCGCTGTAATTCCCGCGATATCGCTCTCCAATGCTTCTCAATGGGGCAACAGCTACAGCAGGACCCTTTCTGGAGCGGATTTAGCCGCGATTCAAGCATGCTCAATGCAAGCATTTGCGCGACAAACGCGCTATTTGCGAACCGCCCAATGTGAACGGGGCCTTAGTGTGAGATCTTGTGCCGACGTCATCAGCGGGAAGGTTCTAAGAAGCAGTCCTGCCCTCTCTCTCTGGTATTGGAGGATTCCCTCCTGCCCTCTCTCTGGTATTGGAGGATATCGGTCCTGCCCTCTCTCTCTGGTATTGGAGGATATCGTCCTGCCCTCTCTCTCTGGTATTGGAGGATATCGTCCTGCCCTCTCTCTCTGGTATTGGAGGATATCGTCCTGCCCTCTCTCTCTGGTATTGGAGGATATCGTCCCTGCCATCTCTCTGGTATTGGAGGATATCGTCCCTGCCCTCTCTCTGGTATTGGAGGATCTCGTCTCTGCCCTCTCTCTGGTATTGGAGGATCTCGTCCCTGCCCTCTCTCTCTGGTATTGGAGGATCTCGTCCCTGCCCTCTCTCTGGTATTGGAGGTTATCGTACCTGCCCTCTCTCTGGTATTGGAGGTTATCGTACCTGCCCTCTCTCTGGTATTGGAGGTTATCGTACCTGCCCTCTCTCTGGTATTGGAGGTTATCGTACCTGCCCTCTCTCTGGTATTGGAGGTTATCGTACCTGCCCTCTCTCTGGTATTGGAGGTTATCGTACCTGCCCTCTCTCTGGTATTGGAGGTTATCGTATCTGCCCTCTCTCTGGTATTGGAGGATATAATCCCCACCCTGTCTCTGGTATTGGAGGATCTCGTCTCTGCCCTATGTGTGGTATTGGAGGGTATAATCCCCACCCTGTCTCTGGTATTGGAGGATCTCGTCCTACCCTCTCTCTGGTATTGGAGGATCTCGTCTCTGCCCTATGTGTGGTATTGGAGGGTATTGTACTCGCCCTCTGTCTGGAATTGGAGGATATTATCTCTGTCCTCTGCGTGGTATTGCAAAATATCCTTCCCGCCCTCTGTCTGGGTAATTTTATGGCATGTACCTCCTTCTCTTCTGCTGGAGTCGGGCTGCTTTCCACCTTCTGAGGCTTCGCCTGCCATAGGGAGCTCACAGAGTCATACGTCCAATGACTGGCATTATACAACTTTTTACCCGTTACCTGAGACAGGAGAAAACCAAAAGTCAAAACTGAGAATGCTACAAATACATTGGTGATTGTATATTTCATAGTACACAATGCTCCCCATCGGTGGGTGATCCCCGTCTCGTCTTTTACATTTCTCGGACACACAAATGAACAGGATTCTGCGGCGGCACCTTCCTCATCATAGAGAAGAGAGATCAGATAAGGGCTCAGGAGTTACAGCCCTCACTCTTCTGTAAAATGTTAAAGTATACATAAACCCCAAAATACCATAAAAGCTTTACCATGTTATTGTCTTTCTAAACGTAATTTTCAATCATTTTAAATCTGCAACTTTTATTTACATAATCCCCGGTGATCCTGCCAAAAAGGTCCTTGTTTGGGCACTTCCTGTTTTTGGGTAACAATGCTCTGCCTCCCAATTGTTCTCCTGTGTTGTTATCTTGTGGCATACGCCCCTGTGGAGGCTACAAGTGGCCGTTTCAACACACATTAGGCAGGCATGGTCTAAAGTCGAGGAGATGATGAGCAGTGACTGCCGAACACGATGATGGGCGGGGGGTCTGATAAATGGAGAACTATGAGGCGATAGGTGGGGGGATCTGGTAAGTGGGAAACACTGAAAAGATGGGCAGCTGGGGTCTGGTGAATGGGGAACACTGAGGACATAGACAGCAGCTGTCCAATGAATGGAGAAGAGTGAGGAGATGATGGGCAGCGGGGTTCTGGTGAATGGGGAACACTGAGGAGATGATGGGCAGCGGGGTTCTGGTGAATAGGGAACACAGAGGAGATGATGGGCAGCGGGGTTCTGGTGAATGGGGAACACTGAGGAGATGATGGGCAGCGGGGTTCTGGTGAATAGGGAACACTGAGGAGATGGGCAGCAGAGGCCTAGTGAATAGGGAACATTGAGGAGATGATGGGCAGCGGGGTTCTGGTGAATAGGGAACATTGAGGAGATGATGGGCAGTGGGGTTCTGGTGAATAGGGAACATTGAGGAGATGATGGGCAGCGGGGTTCTGGTGAATAGGGAACACCGAGGAGATGATGGGCAGCGGGGTTCTGGTGAATAGGGAACATTGAGGAGATGATGGGCAGTGGGGTTCTGGTGAATAGGGAACATTGAGGAGATGATGGGCAGCGGGGTTCTGGTGAATAGGGAACACCGAGGAGATGATGGGCAGCGGGGTTCTGGTGAATAGGGAACATTGAGGAGATGATGGGCAGTGGGGTTCTGGTGAATAGGGAACACAGAGGAGATGATGGGCAGCTGGGTTCTGGTGAATAGGCAACATTGAGGAGATGATGGGCAGTGGGGTTCTGGTGAATAGGGAACACAGAGGAGATGATGGGCAGCGAGGTTCTGGTGAATAGGGAACACAGAGGAGATGATGGGCAGCGGGGTTCTGGTGAATAGGGAACATTGAGGAGATGATGGGCAGTGGGGTTCTGGTGAATAGGGAACATTGAGGAGATGATGGGCAGCGAGGTTCTGGTGAATAGGGAACACAGAGGAGATGATGGGCAGCGGGGTTCTGGTGAATAGGGAACACCGAGGAGATGATGGGCAGTGGGGTTCTGGTGACCGGATAAGGATTTTACCTTTGCAAATATGACGGCTTGTGCCGGATAGCACACCGACACACCCAACGCTGTCAGGCCTACGGGGTACACAACCTTCTTCAGCCTGGATCCTGCGCAGAGCAGACACATCAGTTACAATTATGAACAGGTCACAGAATGAATGAACTAAACACGGGAGCTCAATGGACATTTTCTGCTACTTGAATGATGAAAGTTTGATTTTGAATGTTAGGTGTAAATCTCCATCATTGTGTCCCACACTGTCTGCCTATGGCCGCACCCACAGGTTAGGGTGAGCGATGTTTCAGAACCCCGTAATGACACTAAACTCTGTCACAACCCAACATACTTAAAGGAGAAGTATCCCCATCATTTCTAATTCATTGTGGAACCCCCCAGTAAAATAAGTGCATGGAGTACTTGGCCCCTTCCTGATCTGTGCTGTGCTTGCCGAGCTAGCATAGTCCACACCGCACCCCTTCCACCCACCACTGTTCAACCATTCCGCTTAGTAGGAGATCGGCAGCTACACTAATAGCTGCTCTCCTATGCACAGCATGTTGGTGCTTTCCATTGAATCCCCGCCCACAGCCATTAAAGTGGAAGTGATATGCTGAAAATTGATGACAGGCAGTTTGTTTTTTAATAGCAAAAAGATATTGTCCAAGTCTCTGCTGCACTATCTATGCACGAAGCTGCGAGTGTGCCCGGCCACACTGCACACATGGGGGAAGAATGGTTGGAGGAACACAACAACGAGGTGATGACTCCGCCTCCAAATTCTCCAGATCTCAGTCCAATCGATCATCTGTGGGATGTGCTGGAAGAACAAGTCCGATCCATGGAGGCCGATCACCTCACAACGCACAGGACTTAAAGGATCTGCTACTGACGGCTCGGCGCCGGATACCACAGCACACCTTTTGGGGGGGGGGGGGAGTCATCCAGATTCCACAGCATACATTGGGAGGTCTAGTGGAGTCCATGCCGGGACGGGTCAGGAGAAGGGGGGACCTCCTAAATATTAGGCGGGTGGTTATAATGTTATGGCTGATCGGTGTATGGTGTTCCTATAGAAGGTATTTTGTAATCAGCTGGTCAAAAACGTACGATCTGCCTATCTTGCACAGGCAGACCGTACTTGTTTTTTTTTAAGTACCTGACAACCATCGCAAAACAAAAGTCTTGCGATGGTTGTAAGGTGTGTCCCCAGCCTAAGGTCACGGGAGGGCACAAACTAGCGTCCTTCCGTCACCCAAAGCTCAGTATAGTTGAAGCTCGCCATATACTGAGACCGCTGCAGCCGGATCCCGACATTACTATCGAGATCCGCCCAGCTGCGTGATTGACAGCTGGCTCTGCCTATCTAGAGGCAGAGCCAGCTGTACCCGCCCCCTCCCCCGTCCGTTCCGCCAGTCAGCGCTGGAGGATCGCAGCGGGGGGTGGGGGGCTAGGAATCCCTGCAGGGAGCCGTGAGTGACAGTCACCACTCTCTGTAAGGATACATCGGGAAGCGTGAGCGAGCTCCGGTATGTGTTCCCGATCTATAGAGCCGACCTGGGACAGTCTCATTGTCACACGTCGGCTCCAACTATGAGGGCGAGTGAAAATCTGTACTGCAACTGTAACAGAATAGGATCTTCTTGGCTCTCTGATATTGATTTCAATGAAATGTATTAAATGTATAAACCAAAGTACTGAACACATGATCACCTCTGCGGGCCAGAACCAGGCCTGCTAATCCGCTGATTGTGATGACGCCCAAACGCGGCAGGAACTCTGGAGGCGGGTTTTTTAGGTAGACGTAACTGTCTGTAAAAAAAAACAAAAAAACAGTGATAAATATTTATATTATATAAACAATGAAAAGAGAAAAACTAGTAAGCGCTTCTCTCTCCGACGGCCGCATCTCCACACTCACCTTGTGTGAACTGAATCGCTTCCACAACTCCGTTCTTAACGGCGGCGCCGGCGCTCTGCGTGAAAGAAGATTTACAGAGAATAATACATTAAAGTGAACTTATTATTTGGGAACTCAGCACAGGGATGGTGGGAGCCCCTCATAATGGGCACAGCGGGGGTACAGACCCGGGAACTCAGCACAGGGATGGGGGGAGCTCCTCATAATGGGCACAGCGGGGGTACAGACCCGGGAACTCAGCACAGGGATGGGGGGAGCTCCTCATAATGGGCACAGCGGGGGTACAGACCCGGGAACTCAGCACAGGGATGGGGGGAGCTCCTCATAATGGGCACAGCGGGGGTACAGACCCGGGAACTCAGCACAGGGATGGGGGGAGCTCCTCATAATGGGCACAGCGGGGGTACAGACCCGGGAACTCAGCACAGGGATGGGGGGAGCTCCTCATAATGGGCACAGCGGGGGTACAGACCCGGGAACTCAGCACAGGGATGGGGGGAGCTCCTCATAATGGGCACAGCGGGGGTACAGACCCGGGAACTCAGCACAGGGATGGGGGGAGCTCCTCATAATGGGCACAGCGGGGGTACAGACCCGGGAACTCAGCACAGGGATGGGGGGAGCTCCTCATAATGGGCACAGCGGGGGTACAGACCCGGGAACTCAGCACAGGGATGGGGGGAGCTCCTCATAATGGGCACAGCGGGGGTACAGACCCGGGAACTCAGCACAGGGATGGGGGGAGCTCCTCATAATGGGCACAGCGGGGGTACAGACCCGGGAACTCAGCACAGGGATGGGGGGAGCTCCTCATAATGGGCACAGCGGGGGTACAGACCCGGGAACTCAGCACAGGGATGGGGGGAGCTCCTCATAATGGGCACAGCGGGGGTACAGACCCGGGAACTCAGCACAGGGATGGGGGGAGCTCCTCATAATGGGCACAGCGGGGGTACAGACCCGGGAACTCAGCACAGGGATGGGGGGAGCTCCTCATAATGGGCACAGCGGGGGTACAGACCCGGGAACTCAGCACAGGGATGGGGGGAGCTCCTCATAATGGGCACAGCGGGGGTACAGACCCGGGAACTCAGCACAGGGATGGGGGGAGCTCCTCATAATGGGCACAGCGGGGGTACAGACCCGGGAACTCAGCACAGGGATGGGGGGAGCTCCTCATAATGGGCACAGCGGGGGTACAGACCCGGGAACTCAGCACAGGGATGGGGGGAGCTCCTCATAATGGGCACAGCGGGGGTACAGACCCGGGAACTCAGCACAGGGATGGGGGGAGCTCCTCATAATGGGCACAGCGGGGGTACAGACCCGGGAACTCAGCACAGGGATGGGGGGAGCTCCTCATAATGGGCACAGCGGGGGTACAGACCCGGGAACTCAGCACAGGGATGGGGGGAGCTCCTCATAATGGGCACAGCGGGGGTACAGACCCGGGAACTCAGCACAGGGATGGGGGGAGCTCCTCATAATGGGCACAGCGGGGGTACAGACCCGGGAACTCAGCACAGGGATGGGGGGAGCTCCTCATAATGGGCACAGCGGGGGTACAGACCCGGGAACTCAGCACAGGGATGGGGGGAGCTCCTCATAATGGGCACAGCGGGGGTACAGACCCGGGAACTCAGCACAGGGATGGGGGGAGCTCCTCATAATGGGCACAGCGGGGGTACAGACCCGGGAACTCAGCACAGGGATGGGGGGAGCTCCTCATAATGGGCACAGCGGGGGTACAGACCCGGGAACTCAGCACAGGGATGGGGGGAGCTCCTCATAATGGGCACAGCGGGGGTACAGACCCGGGAACTCAGCACAGGGATGGGGGGAGCTCCTCATAATGGGCACAGCGGGGGTACAGACCCGGGAACTCAGCACAGGGATGGGGGGAGCTCCTCATAATGGGCACAGCGGGGGTACAGACCCGGGAACTCAGCACAGGGATGGGGGGAGCTCCTCATAATGGGCACAGCGGGGGTACAGACCCGGGAACTCAGCACAGGGATGGGGGGAGCTCCTCATAATGGGCACAGCGGGGGTACAGACCCGGGAACTCAGCACAGGGATGGGGGGAGCTCCTCATAATGGGCACAGCGGGGGTACAGACCCGGGAACTCAGCACAGGGATGGGGGGAGCTCCTCATAATGGGCACAGCGGGGGTACAGACCCGGGAACTCAGCACAGGGATGGGGGGAGCTCCTCATAATGGGCACAGCGGGGGTACAGACCCGGGAACTCAGCACAGGGATGGGGGGAGCTCCTCATAATGGGCACAGCGGGTGTACAGACCCGGGAACTCAGATGTCTAGTCCACTGGGTATGGCAGGTAACTCTGCAGATTGCACAGAATACACGACAACACTGGATTTCTGCCAGTATCAATAGGCATATGTTGCATTTATTGTAGGAAGAAAGCAACTCGCTTTTACTGGTACATTTATGATACCAAAAGGGAGATAGTTTGTACACATCGAGCAGCGGCTGGTGGTGATTTGGGAAGGGATGTCGCGTTTCTGCGCTTACCTGACCCCATGTCACAATGGGTGATAATGTTGTGCGCACAGCAGTGACGGAGTGCTGCACACGGCCCGGCTCTTCTTCAATGAACCTGGATACCCGGGGAGGAACAGAATATACCGATAGCTGAAACAGACGGATGGAGTGTAAATCAGGGAAATCCAAAAATATATAATCGCACCGACGCATAACATATCTGCGTGTCAGATCTCACCTCTCACCTTGTGCTACAACGGGGGGGGGGGGGTGGGGC